TAGAGAGGAAAACAAGAAGAAAAGGGACAAGAAGAGAGGGACACAACCTAGAACAGATAATGGATGTCTATTCTATTAACATTTCTATATCTGGAGAATGGGGCTGTTTTATGTGTTGTCTTCTCAGTCCAGAGGGCCCCTGCCTGTCTTTGCCTAGGGCCCCATATATCCTAAATCCGCTCCTGCTATGACCCGTTATATATTGATAACAGTTACATTAATTCTTAGCTTCTTTAGGTTTAGGTATTAATTTCTTGACATGACTGTAGGTATGAATCCTGTCAGGCTTAGTAGAGCCTAACGGGTCACATATTTTGTCTAAATAAAAGTCTTAAAACAGGTCCTTAAATGTTTTAAAAAGACGCTTTAACCTTTTATACAAAAAAAGATCCATGTTAAATGTCAGTTTGAATTGTTGGCTACTTTTCTTAACATGAACCAGTGCGCATATACCCCCCGTTGTGTAAACAATGGAAGAGAAGCAGAGCTCCTCCAATCAGCCCCAGGGGTCATAAATAAGAAAACATGACGCACCTGCTTCTAAAACGTAGACAATCTGAGCGACCAGAGAACAAAAGACGCTACTTGGCATCTACCCTACAGCCTCACCATCAGCCCGCGCGCATCACGCATCCCTCTCATCATCATCATCATCACCTGCACCTTCCACTAGATCCACCAGCAGATCTCCACAGCAAACAGCAGGTCTGCAGCTTTGCTCGTGTCTGTGGGGAAAACATCCTCCTACCTTTAAAAACAAGCAGACGCGCTTCCCGCTGACTGGATCCGCTGAGCGGCTCTTGTCGTCTTGCTTGTTGGAGACGTGAAAACGGCGACGGTGTCAAAGTGGAGGAAATATACCCGCAAATTCCGCCTAATTTTTCAGAATAAAACTATTTTTTTAAAAAAAAAACAAAAAAAAAAAAAAACACGATAAAAAAACACAGAGCTCCCAGAGGCGCGCTCCCCCGCCCACAAAAAAAAAACAATAAAAAGGGCCCCACAGAGCCCCACCCCCTCCGCCACAACACAAAAAAAAACACCCCAAAACAGAAAAAAGACAAAAAAGAGAAAAAAAAAAAAAAAAAAGCAAAAGCAAAAGAAAAAAAAAGGTAAGAAAAAAGCCCTTCAAACGAAACCCTGGTGAAAAAAAAAAAAAAAAAAAAAAGAAAAAAAAAAAAAAAAAAATGTTAGAACTCTAAATTTAGTCATTTTTACAATTTTTCAAGGCTGCACTTTTAAAAAGATGAAATTGTCCAGTGAACTGTTTCCAAACGAAATTTATTTTTGTTTTACATTTGTGTAAAACAAAAAAAAACAAAACAAAAAAAAAAAATAAATAAAATAAAATCTGTCAAAAGTCTAAAATACAGAGAAACCAGCTGGTAGAGGAATAAGGTTTATTCCTATTGAGCAGTTAGTTGAGCGTGTGGTTTACTATGGAGAGCCGTTTCATTCAGAATTATATTGATAAATAAAAAAATAAAAAAAATTCTGCTATGATGAATTATTAATCAATTTTCTATGTTTTAAATAAATGTCATCATGAGGTAAAACTGAATCATTATTTTTAATCTATTTTCAATATATGTCTATTTCCAGATTAATTAATTTATATCATAAAGTACTTTAAAAATAATACTTTTATTTTGTAAGGGTACTTTATGCATTTCAATGACTTTTATTATTAAATAGTTTTTTTTATTTGAAGGTAATTTTATGTCCTTATATTCAGATGAGGGGCCACTGATCTCTATTTATTCACTGGATTGCTGATTGCCTAAGTGAAGCCACCTGCCACCATATTGGTACTCCCCACTCCCACAGAGATGCGCAGTAAAAATGCCTTCCTGTATCATTTGACTGCAAAAACAAGCAGTTGCAGTTTTCTGGCTGCATGAGTAATTCCACAGTCAGCGGATGTACTAAAAATAAAAATCAATATATACCCCGATGTATTCTATAGTATAGTATGTAGAGTAACATTAGTCTGGCTATCTCAGACTGACTCAAAGACATTGACTGAATTATTAATTGTGACAAGGTTAAAAAATAGAGTAAATAGAAAGTGATTCACTGTAAAATGTCTGTGTAGTAATAATTTATTAAGTGGATGATGCTGTTATTTTTGTACTGTTTGTTGTATTTCTCATTTGAAAAAGTAATGTGCTGAAATATGTTGCATGTTATATTGACGAAAAATAAAAAGCTACTCAAACACTTATAAAGGCTAATGCACAGACACAGCATAACAGTATATGCCATCATTCATGCATAATTTGCAAATAGGAAAATACTATATTATATACTATGGCTTTAAAAGACATGTACTAGTTATTCAGTCGATGTAAAAACTTAATATCATAAATATGTAATTACCTTAACAATGTCATCAATACATACAGTATATATATTACATGTACATAATCAATTTAGGACTTTTGGCACATCTGTATTATTATGCTCCATTAACACATTAACTTTATTGTGATGGATTTGTATAATATGTTACATTACATGATTTAGAGACTTTATTGACTTCATACTGATTATGCAATGTGACGGGCCTATTTTTCTACTTATGCTATAAAACACCAAGTGTGTGTCAAAGTGATGAATTAATCTTTATTTTAAAACTCTCCCTAAAAATGACATCATTTTTGTTTGATGCTTTAGCGCACATATCCTTTACATTGTGACCAGTCTAACTAGGGAGTACCAATATGGCAGCTGGTGGCTTCACTTTAACTCCATACTACCAACAGGCTATTAGCAATCCAGGGAATAAATAGAGAGCAGTGATCAGGGTTATCCTTCTTCCCTCCCTCCCCCAGAGAAGGCGCCTGATTTCTGGCTAGAAATTTTAGATATTTTTTAAGTAAAAATGGTTGCTACAGAATATAACACCTTCAGCAGAGTCAGTCAGTTCAGACTTCTAATGGGTTTAAGTGCCAAACGGCTACATACAAGCCATACATCCCCGATCACATGAACACAAAGGTCTGAGAAATGCCAAGTTCAATTTTAACCTCCATAGAAACGGCCTTAACAACGGTACCAATGTGACATTCTGACATCTATGCGATGAGACACAACAATCTTTAGCAAAAACTAATAAACAGATTATCTACTTTTACTGAACAAAGATTAGAAAAATAACGTTTACTCCTTGATAGAAATTCCATTATAATGCAAATAAAAACAGACAAATTCTAAATGTTTGTTTTTATTCACACAAAATAAAGGAAAGGTGGGTGAAATTCTTTTTTTTTTGCTTGAAGAATCTTCATGTGTCCTGGATGCGATCCAAAGTGAACAACTAGTCCAAATGATCGATAGCTTTGAAACATATCAGCCCGCTTTTCATGTGGAATGTGGTGGGAAAAAAAAT